GTATTCTTCCTTCTTCGAGATATCAACTGAATCTTAAAGTGAGGGCCTTCCAAAGTTCTTCGCCTCCTGCAGAAATCATTTCTGATGTTATTCCATCTTTTTCTGGGGCTTTTCCCTTCTTCATCTGGTGTAGTGTGGTTCGGACTTTGTTAACGATTATTGGGGGGATGCATTCTTCTGACTCTTGGAGCATTAGGAGGGGGACATTGATTCTTTATTTGAACAGTTGTGTGTAGAAGTCCTGGCAGACTTCCTCCATCCCTGCTCTGTCGATTACTGTCTCTCCATCCTTGTTCTTCAATGCTGTTACGCTCAATCGATACTGTGTCAATTCCCGCTTGCATGTCCTGAGGCTCTTGTGTGATTTGGCTGTTTTGAGGAGCTTTTCTTTCTAGAAGTTCTCAAAGTCGTTCTTCATCTTTTGCCGTATCAGCTTGCCACAGAATGGAGTACTCAAGGTTGTTAACAGAGCTCTTTTTCATGTTTTTCTGCTTCTCCAACAAGCTTTTCGTTTCGTTCGAGATTCTTTCCTTCACCTCCTTCGATTTCAGCTGCTTTTATGCAACGTCTCAGCTTGTCAGCAAAGATACTATAGTCCTCATTGCACTTTTCCATCTGGCTCCAGTCAAACCCAGAAATCGCTTTCTTCAGCTTTGTTTCATCGAATGTCTTCGGCCGCTGTTTCCTGTTTGCCATCTGTAGCGCCTTCTTTTCCACAGCGGATATTGCAAGTAAATACAACTGGAAAGTATATAAGGGAGAAGGAATGGGAAGTGATCATTTCCCTATACTTGTTAATTTTCAAGGGCAAGGTAAGGTTGGAGGTGATGGAATTAGCTCCCAGGTGGGCATTTACAAGTAAATGTACTGAATCTGTGTATTATCATTGTGTGAGTGATTACATGCAGAAATTCAATGATAATCTAATAAAGGGATTACTAGTAGCAGCTACTGTGGCCAGACCTAGGATATTGATGTACCGCAGACTAAAAAACTCACTTTCATTGTGGAATGAGGAGTGCAAAATGGCAATTAAAGAAAGGAACACTGCCTATATAAAAGCAAAAAAAAAAAAAAAAAAGAATGGTGAAGATCTAATGAAGTATAAAAGAAGTAAGGAAATAGCACAGGGAATTCTAAAAAGATCAAAGAAAGAGTTGAAGGAAGTACTGGGAATGGATAAACAAATATAATAAAACATCAAAAACATACAGGCAAATTAGAAAAATGAATGGAATTCAGACTAACGGTAGCCACATCCCAGGTCTTATTGGGAGTGACAATACAGTTAGAAGTTCTGACAGTGAGAAAGCAGAAATTTTAGCAGAAACTTCTGAGGGATAAGGAATGATGAAAACCAAAGAGAAGTTTTCCACCAGATTAAAGACAATTCACTGAAGAGAATCATGGTCTATTACGTAGTTGGGGTAAATATGAAGATACTATCCAGAATGAATGGCTTTGTATGCGAGAACTTGAGAAAACTATTGATATCAGCAAGAATACATCCCCAGGGAGCAATCATATATGTAACATAATGTTTAAATTTCTCTCTGGAAGCAATTTGAGGGTCATCTTGGAATTATTAACACTCTATGTGGAGAAGGGGAGTGATACCAGGAGGGTGGAAACATGCAGTAGTAATTCCAATATGAAAAAAATTCCAGGGAAACGATCTACAAAAGTGGGTGCCTATAAACCAATTGCACTAACAACCTGTCTGGGTAAAATTCTGTGGAGAATGGTGAATCAAAGATTGATCACCTAGTTGGAAAATAATGGTGTTGGAGACAAGGTGCAGAGTGATTTTAGGAGAGGACGATGCACCATTGATCCCATTGCTAAATTAGAAACTGAAATTCAAAAAAGTATGAGGCACAAAGGTTTCATGATAGCTGTCTTTCTAGATGTTGAAAAGGCATATGACATGGTAGGGAGGGAAGGCTTGTTGTACAAAGCAGGTGCAACAGGGATAAAGGGAAGAATGGATGGGTTGATTAGAGATTTTTTTTCAATAAAAGGACCATGCAATCAGAGTAGGGAAAGTTATGTTAAATATATATATATATATAATATTAAAAATGGTACAAAATAGGGAAGTGTTATCAGCCCAACCTTATTTAATATTATGATAAATGATCTCCCAAAACAAGTATGTGCTGAGTGTAGCCAATGATTTTAGTTCATTATTCATTTAATATGTGATGTTATGATTCTGTTATATCAGATATTCATTGTATGTTAATTAGAGTGAATTTGTAGGACTATAAAAGTATAAGATAGTTCAGGGTTTAGAGGAACTATGTACTAGATATGAGTAAGACAAGCTGAAATGCAAGAACCTGCAGCTTAAAGCCTGCAAGACTTTAGTTTATCTATTTTAAGCCTTGGAGAAAAGAAATGATGACATGAGTGGCTGGAAAATAATCCAATGCCCTAAGATAATGGGAAAAGAAGTATTAAGTGATAGTACTGTGCATAATTAACCAGAAGATTAATATTAGACCATAAAAACACCATAAAGGTGCATCTGTCTCAGGCACGTATCTTAATCATGGGATACAGGTTGTGCACCAATTCTAATGAGAATAAAGCGAACTTACCCAGCCTACAGGAAATTGGGGTCCTTTAAGTTTCCAGGGGACACAGACCAAGAAGAGAAAAGAGGGTTATCATAAATATAAAGGGAAGGGTAAACCCCTTTAAAATCCCTCCTGGCCAGAGGAAAAATCCTCTCACCTGAAAAGGGTTAAGAAGCTAAAGGTAACCTCGCCGGCACCTGACCAAAATGACCAATGAGGAGACAAGATACTTTCAAAAGCTGGGAGGAGGGAGAAAAAACAAAGGGGCTGTGTCTGTCTGTGGGATGCTTTTGCCGGAGACAGAACAGGAATGGAGTCTTAGAACTTAGTAAGTAATCTAGCTATGTATGTGTTAGATTATGATTTCTTCAAATGGCTGAGAAAATAGCTGTGCTGAATAGAATGAATCATAGAATCATAGAATCATAGAATATCAGGGTTGGAAGGGACCCCAGAAGGTCATCTAGTCCAACCCCCTGCTCAAAGCAGGACCAATTCCCAGTTAAATCATCCCAGCCAGGGCTTTGTCAAGCCTGACCTTAAAAACCTCGAAGGAAGGAGATTCTACCACCTCCCTAGGTAACGCATTCCAGTGTTTCACCACCCTCTTAGTGAAAAAGTTTTTCCTAATATCCAACCTAACCCTCCCCCACTGCAACTTGAGACCATTACTCCTCGTTCTGTCATCTGCTACCATTGAGAACAGTCTAGAGCCATCCTCTTTGGAACCCCCTTTCAGGTAGTTGAAAGCAGCTATCAAATCCCCCCTCATTCTTCTCTTCTGCAGGCTAAACAATCCCAGCTCCCTCAGCCTCTCCTCATAACTCATGTGTTCCAGTCCCCTAATCATTTTTGTTGCCCTTCGCTGGACTCTCTCCAATTTATCCACATCCTTCTTGAAGTGTGGGGCCCAAAACTGGACACAGTACTCCAGATGAGGCCTCACCAATGTCGAATAGAGGGGAACGATCACGTCCCTCGATCTGCTCGCTATGCCCCTACTTATACATCCCAAAATGCCATTGGCCTTCTTGGCAACAAGGGCACACTGCTGACTCATATCCAGCTTCTCGTCCACTGTCACCCCTAGGTCCTTTTCTGCAGAACTGCTGCCTAGCCATTCGGTCCCTAGTCTGTAGCTGTGCATTGGGTTCTTCCGTCCTAAGTGCAGGACCCTGCACTTATCCTTATTGAACCTCATCAGATTCCTTTTGGCCCAATCTTCCAATTGGTCTAGGTCCTTCTGTATCCTATCCCTCCCCTCCAGCGTATCTACCACTCCTCCCAGTTTAGTATCATCCGCAAATTTGCTGAGAGTGCAATCCACACCATCCTCCAGATCATTTATGAAGATATTGAATAAAACCGGCCCCAGGACCGACCCTTGGGGCACTCCACTTGATACCGGCTGCCAACTAGACATGGAGCCATTGATCACTACCCGTTGAGCCCGACAATTTAGCCAGCTTTCTACCCATCTTATAGTGCATTCATCCAGCCCATACTTCCTTAACTTGCTGACAAGAATACTATGGGAGACCGTGTCAAAAGCTTTGCTAAAGTCAAGAAACAGAATATTCCTGTCTGTGTGTCTTTTTTGTAACTTAAGGTTTTGCCTAGAGGGATTCTCTATGTTTTGAATCTAATTACCCTGTCAGGTATTTACCATCCTGATTTTACAGAGATGATTCTTTTTTACTTCTATTAAAAGTCTTCTTGTAAGGAAACTGAATGCTTTTTCATTGTTCTAAGATCCAAGGGTTTGGGTCTGTAGTCACCTATGCAAACTGGTGAGGATTTTTACCAAACCTTCCCCAGGAAGTGGGGTGCAAGGGTTGGGTGGATTTTTGGGGGAAAGACGTGTCCAAACTACGTTTTTTCAGGAACCCAGATAAAGTTTGGTGGTGGCAGTGGAAGTCCAAGGGTAAAATAGTTTGTACCTTGGGGAAGTTTTAACCTAAGCTGGTAAAAGTAAGCTTAGGAGGTTTTCATGCAGGTCCCCACATCTGTACCCTAGAGTTCAGAGTGGGGAAGGAACCTTGACAATGGTGGACGCTTTTATGGACACGCACAGAATGTAGGTGTAGACAAAATCACATTATAAAAAAGGCAAACCCTTCCCTAAGCACCCTGCCGCCACTTGCACGCTGGGATAGCAACCACAATGCCCTGCTCTCTGTGGCGTTGCAAGAGCTGCTCATGTGGCCGTGTGCCACAGTCACAAGGAGCACAGTGTGAACACCCAACAGCGCTTTCCCTGCAGCGCTCTGTGAGCAGCGCAGTAACCGCAGCACTGCACACCTGCCAGTGTAGACATCGCTGCAGTAGAGTCCTCACGTTCGAAACCCCCAAGTGCTGCCGTACGGTTAAATACAAATAATAGAATTTATTTTCATAGAATCATTCATAATTCATGGAAATCATCACATTTCACAGCAAATCAAAAGCTAAACAGGAAAATATAGGAGAACTAATTACATGATTACAGGCAGGCTATATCCATGGGTAAATGTGGGAGCACTGTGGGAGTTACACAGCAGTTAGAACTGGTTGAATATTTAAAAAACATTTAGTCACAAAGAGTTTAGCGAATAGACGTACTGAATTGAATGTAAAAAAATATTTGCAAATTGTGAAGGTTTCATGAATTTCCAGATTATTGGTCTGAAAATTGACATCATGGATCATTTGTTATCTTCTTGTTTACAAAATTTCCCCCCAGAAGCAGAAACAATATCATGTGACTTGGGTGGTCAGTCACAACTTACAAATATCGAATACTGACTAGTCTGAATGAACTGCTTGCGAACAACCAATGAGCTGGGAACTGTTGATCCAAACTGATCAGTGAATACTTATGAATGGTTATTTTAATGAACAGATTCTGATGTCTGTAAATGATTCCTGAACAGAAATACGGTCTACATTTACCACCATATTGACAGCAATATTAGTCACAATTAATATAATACATCAACCCTAGCTTATTCCAACTTTTAGTCCAGAAGAGATCTAAGAGCTGTAACCAGAGTCTTCAATGGAAGCAACACATGTTGTTAATAAAGACCAAATGCTAAGGGCTTCATTTACTCATAGCTTGTATGCATTAGCTGTAGGGTATGACAGTACAAAGCTGACTAAGAAGCTGATACAACTGTAAACTTCTGTGAAGAAAAAAAAGAGGAGGTGAAAGTGTTACAAAGCACAAACTCCATTCATCACTAGTGGCAAAGTGGCAAGAGAAGGAGAAATTATAGTAAGTCAATCATTTAGAAAACCAGCCTTTGATTTTTGAAAATACAGAAGAGAATGCTTCTAAAATATCTTGTATCAGAGTAACATCCTCAGCAGCTCTTTCCCTGAGTTCACGTAGCTGTTCCTGGTATTGAATATTTATTTTCTCTAAAGCTTTTTTCCTTTCTTGTCTCTGGGTGTCTATCTCTCTTTTCCAACAGTTTTCATTATTTGAGACTTCTTTCTTAAATTTCTCATCTATTTTCTTAATTTTTTCATCATACCAAGATTTCACTTCTCTTATATTTTTTTCCCTCTCTTCCTGACAGTATTTTCTCTTCTCCTCGATATTTTCTTGAAGTTTCTTCTGAGCATATTCATACATCTCATTAGTATAATGTGAGCCTCCATTCTGTTGCACCATCTTATCAGTCATTGCAATCAGCTCTGAAATCTGGTCTTCCTTCTCCTGTCCTTCTGCTTTGTTGTTAAAAGCGCAGCATCGATTCTTGCACTTTTGCATCAACTTCTCAAGATCTTTGTCACCCAAATCTTTTAAATATTTTTCTAAAGTCGTGTCACCTAAGTCATCTTTTCTGGTGAACAAGAAGATCATGTACTGCACAGCTCTTTCCCCAAAAATGTCTTGTATTCGTTCAACTGTTTTTTTCTCTTCTTCAGTGAAACGACTCAGCTGCATCACCAGAACTATAGCATGGGGTCCTGGGGCAGAGACTAGGACACAACGCCCAATTTCTTTCATAGTTTCTTTTAAAGGAATTTTTGTGTCAAAAAGACCAGGTGTATCAATGACTGCAATGTCCCTGCCGTTCCAAGCCCTGCTCTCCTTCTTACATGTCACTGTTACTGATTGTGCTGTGATTTTAGACACAAACAGATTCTCACGGAGGATGGCGTTTCCTGTTGCACTTTTCCCACATCCAGTTTTACCAACAAGAACAATCCTTAGTTCGGATATCTCAGTGCACGGGCTGGCAGTTCTTGGGCCTGGAAGAAGTAAGTTTGACAATGTTATTGTAAAGATAATAAAGTAACAATGGGTGTGTTTGGGGATTTCCCTTTCTGTAATTATACCTATTGTAAGGCCTTAGCTAATCGGTGTGGAAACATTTTGCATGTTGGAGCGGAGCAGTAAAGTGGTTGGTTAGCACTGACAGCCTGTCACCTTTGGAGGCCTCGGTTCAGATTTGAGTGAGTTCTAAGCACACAGCAGGCTTTGGGCTGGAGGGGGCCAGCGCAGTGATCAGGTGTTGTTTCTGGGAGGGATGCTGATCTGGATCCTTACTGTTCTGTTTTGGAATCACTGCTCATGGTGCAGTGTTGTCACCAGGTCTCATTAGCTCCCTGTCCAGCCTCTACTACACGCAGAGAGGAGCCGCAGTCACCAGGAGCCAGCCCAGCAATGTGGGAGCAGCAGAAAGAGCCAGGGGCAGGCTATAGAACGGGCTCCCGAGTTAGCAGAAGATGCCCAAGGAGTTTAACTTGGACCTGACTTCCCAGAGAAGTGGAGCATGCCCAGCTCCAAGTGACTTCAGCTGGAGTTTTGGGTGCTCAGCAGCTCTGCAAATCAGCCCCTGCTTTATTTTTTTGGGTGATGAGGTAAAAAGAGAAAGGAAGGAGACTAGGGAGAGAAAGAATGGAATACAAAAAAAGAGGAAAAGGGGAATGGGACTGTCAAGGTTCTTTCCCCACTCTGAACTCTAGGGTACAGATGTGGGGACCTGCATGAAAACCTCCTAAGCTTACTTTTACCAGCTTAGGTTAAAACTTCTCCAAGGTACAAACTAATTTTACCCTTTGCCCTTGGACTTCCACTGCCACCACCAAACTTTATCTGGGTTCCCGAAAAAACATAGTTTGGACACGTCTTTCCCCCCAAAATCATCCCAACCCTTGCACCCCACTTCCTGGGGAAGGTTTGGTAAAAATCCTCACCAATTTGCATAGGTGACCACAGACCCAAACCCTGGGATCTTAGAACAATGAAAAAGCATTCAGTTTTCTTACAAGAAGACTTTTAATAGAAGTAAAAAAGAATCACCTCTGTAAAATCAGGATGGTGAATACCTTACAGGGTAATTAGATTCAAAACATAGAGAATCCCTCTAGGCAAAACCTTAAGTTACAAAAGAGACACACAGACAGGAATATTCATTCTATTCAGCACAGCTATTTTCTCAGCCATTTAAAGAAATCATAATCTAACACATACCTAGCTAGATTACTTACTAAATTCTAAGACTCCATTCCTGTTCTGTCTCCGGCAAAAGCATCCCACAGACAGACACAGCCCCTTTGTTTTTTCTCCCTCCTCCCAGCTTTTGAAAGTATCTTGTCTCCTCATTGGTCATTTTGGTCAGGTGCCAGCGAGGTTACCTTTAGCTTCTTAACCCTTTTCAGGTGAGAGGATTTTTCCTCTGGCCAGGAGGGATTTAAAGGGATTTACCCTTCCCTTTATATGTATGACAGGGACAAATAATTTGGAGAGATGGATGAAAGGGGAAAAGAGTGGAGCCTGGGGAGCAGGAGAAGGAAAACAGGAGGGAAAACGGTGAGGGAAAAGAGGAGGAGGACAGGAAGAAAACACTGTAGGAGAGGTACAGACAGTAGAAATAGATGGAGAACATGCACCATGCCCACAATAGCAGCTCTTGTCACTCTCAGTTAGGGGAGCTGATGAACACATCCAGGGGAATAAATGCACCAGAGCTGCATTGCCTGGCTTTAGAGCCAAATCCCACCTTCTCCGTGGCATGGACCCCTTAGGACCTCCATGGGTAGCCAGTCTGCACAGCAGCAGAGGAGCAATGGGATCCCAGAGAGGAGCCCTCTCTCGACAATGGCCACAGCATCCCCTGGGCTCTTCCCCTCGCATGGAGTCTGCATGGCACACAGCTAGGGGGGAGTTACACCAGGGGAAATGGCGCCTTCCCAACTGTTTCAGCCAGTGAGGCCGTTCATCAGCTGGGTAACAGCCCGGGACACCGAACGGGTGAGCAGCCCAGAGAAAGCCGCTCTGGCTGACAGGTGGTAGGTGGAGCTGCCAGCTGGGGAGGGTGGGCCTGGCAGGGTGAAGAACAGCCACCAAGGGCAACTGGCCTGGGAGATGGAGAAAATGGCCCTCGGTGATTTCATTAAAACTCCCCTTCTGAATCCCCTCTCCCTGTGGTGTTGGGCTGCTCCGGGTCATCAGTAACTGCCCTGGCCCCTGCATGGGGGAGAAATGGTGGGTAGGATTTGTGGAAGGCTCATTGGAGGAAGGGAGATAAGTTGCACGAGAGCACTTGTCCTGCCCACAAGTGACCCCCTCACTCTTGATCAGTGAGGAGAGTCCCACCGAACCTGTGTCCACATCAGCATGACTGTCCTCAGACCAATTAGGCGGGTGCAGGGATGGGGTATGCCACAGACACAGACCATCCTTCCAACCACACCCAGGAAGCCGAGATTGTCTGTGGAGCTGGTCTAACCCACACACCTCCTGGGTGTGGTGTTCTGTCCCATCTAGTGGCCCTGAGACCACTTAGAGAGAGAGAGAGAAAATGAGTCTGCTCTCCAGCCTTAGCTAAGAGCCAACTGGCTTTTAGCTCATGCGGTAGAGGCTCAGCCACGAAACTTCAGAGGTCCCCAGTTCGATCCTGCCTATTGACAACTGGGGTCTGTCGGCGTTACACCGGCAGTGCAGCCTGGGAAAAGTTCCTGTTTGCAAAATCTGGAGAAGTGCTGGGAGGGGGTATGGGGGATTTGGGTTTTTTTCAAGGCAGTTGTGGGACTTACTGCAGCCCCCAAAGGGGTGGGATGGAGAGAGAGAAAACCTTTAGCCCAGCTCTGTTGGGTGGGAGTGTGAACTGTCAGTTGCAGTGTAAGGACAGCTCTTCAGTGAACCACTTTTGGTGTTGTCCTGGACCATAGAAAACAACTTCCCACGTCACAAAACCACTGCAAGGTTTGCCTTGATTGCCAGACCATGTCTACACGACAGTTCACAGTGACATCACTTTCGTCACTCAGGTGTGAATAAGTCACCCCCCCCAGCAATGTAAGTTACCCTGACCTACGCACTGGTGTGGGCGGCGAGATATGGGTGGGAGAAGCACAGCTACCCCAAGGCTGGAGTAAGTAAGTCGGCAGGAGAGCTCTCGGCACTAGCAGCGCCATGGCGGCTCAGCTGCGCCAATGCAGCTGGGCCGCCGTGAGCTCCGTAGCGCACCCGTAGCCTGGGTCTTTGTTCAGGAGAGAACCGGCACTGACCTGCCAGGGTCTATCGCAGGTCAGGACTGAGGTGCATTGGCAGAGATAGGAGGAGGCAGCTTAACCCACACCAGCAGTCTCAAACCTTTGTCTGCAGGAGCATAGAAATGTCAAACATTATCGTATCTAAAATGTAAGTATGTTCCTTTGACCCAAACAACAGAACCCCACCTGTACTGTCAGAGTAGAGCTGGGTGGAATTTACTGTTACTGAAAAATTTCAGGTTTCAGAGGAACAGCCGTGTTAGTCTGTATTCGCAAAAAGAAAAGGAGTACTTGTGGCACCTTAGAGACTAACCAATTTATTTGAGCATGAGCTTTCGTGAGCTACAGCTCACTTCATCAGATGTATACCGTGGAAACTGCAGCAGACTTTATATACACACAGAGAATATGAAACAATACCTCCTCCCACCCCACTGTCCTGCTGGTAATAGCTTATCTAAAGTGATCAACAGGTGGGCCATTTCCAGCACAAATCCAGGTTTTCTCACTCTCCACCCCCCCACACAAATTCACTCTCCTGCTGGTGTTAGCCCATCCAAAGTGACAACTCTTTACATAATCAAGTCGGGCTATTTCCTGCATAGATCCAGGTTTTCTCACATCCCCCCCACCCCCATACACACACAAACTCACTCTCCTGCTGGTAATAGCTCATCTAAACTGACCACTCTCCAAGTTTAAATCCAAGTTAAACCAGAACATCTGGGGGGGGGGGGGGGGGGGAGGAAAAAACAAGAGGAAACAGGCTACCTTGCATAATGACTTAGCCACTCCCAGTCTCTATTTAAGCCTAAATTAATAGTATCCAATTTGCAAATGAATTCCAATTCAGCAGTTTCTCGCTGGAGTCTGGATTTGAAGTTTTTTTGTTTTAAGATAGCGACCTTCATGTCTGTGATTGCGTGACCAGAGAGATTGAAGTGTTCTCCGACTGGTTTATGAATGTTATAATTCTTGACATCTGATTTGTGTCCATTTATTCTTTTACGTAGAGACTGTCCAGTTTGACCAATGTACATGGCAGAGGGGCATTGCTGGCACATGATGGCATATATCACATTAGTGGATGTGCAGGTGAACGAGCCTCTGATAGTGTGGCTGATGTTATTAGGCCCTGTGATGGTGTCCCCTGAATAGATATGTGGGCACAATTGGCAACGGGCTTTGTTGCAAGGATAAGTTCCTGGGTTAGTGGTTCTGTTGTGTGGTATGTGGTTGTTGGTGAGTATTTGCTTCAGGTTGCGGGGCTGTCTGTAGGCAAGGACTGGCCTGTCTCCCAAGACTTGTGAGAGTGTTGGGTCATCCTTTAGGATAGGTTGTAGATCCTTAACAATGCGTTGGAGGGGTTTTAGTTGGGGGCTGAAGGTGACCGCTAGTGGCGTTCTGTTATTTTCTTTGTTAGGCCTGTCCTGTAGTAGGTAACTTCTGGGAACTCTTCTGGCTCTATCAATCTGTTTCTTTACTTCTGCAGGTGGGTATTGTAGTTGTAAGAAAGCTTGACAGAGATCTTGTAGGTGTTTGTCTCTGTCTGAGGGGTTGGAGCAAATGCGGTTGTATCGCAGAGCTTGGCTGTAGACGATGGATCGTGTGGTGTGGTCTGGGTGAAAGCTGGAGGCATGCAGGTAGGAATAGTGGTCAGTAGGTTTCCGGTATAGGGTGGTGTTTATGTGGCCATTGTTTATTAGCACTGTAGTGTCCAGGAAGTGGATCTCTTGTGTGGACTGGACCAGGCTGAGGTTGGTGGTGGGATGGTATTGTTTCATATTCTCTGTGTGTATATAAAGTCTGCTGCAGTTTCCACGGTATGCATCTGATGAAGTGAGCTGTAGCTCACGAAAGCTCATGCTCAAATAAATTGGTTAGTCTCTAAGGTGCCACAAGTACTCCTTTTCTTTTTGAAAAATTTCAGATGTTCACACAAACAAAACAAAACACATAAAACGTTTTCAGTCTAAATCCAGTTGCCAAAAGACAACAAGTTCTTGGTTTTCTGAGGGAAAGTCAAAACTAGCCATGGAAAGCACCCACTTCTTAGGAAAAGTTTTGTTCAGTAGAAAACCCAATTTTCAAAAAAAACCCCAGCTTTGATGGAAACTTTTTGACCAGTGCTCATGAGAATCTCACACACGTGACCTAGCAACTCCTTCTCTTGTTTTTACAACGATTGCATCTGTCCTTGCAGCTGAGCAAAGAGGCCAAATTGGGGAGAGGGAACTACTGAGCCCCACGCAAACCTGTTGAGTGAGAAGAGATATTTCGGGATTTTTGGATCAACCCCCCGTGCTAGCGAGGCTCTCAATTTCATTACGGAAAATCACAAGCTGACAATTCATGTAGAAAGAAGGACAGCACAGGGAAATTGTCATTTTCTTACCCGTTTCATCTTCAGTTTGCCATCCAGGATAAAACTCTGGCTGAAATATTTGATTTTAAAAATGTGAATATTGTAAAATGATTAGAACATAGACATAAAGAACGCATGAAATAGCAACGCATCGACCTGAACTCCCTTAGGCCACTTTGGGCATCGTTTGATTACATTTGGGAAAGCCACGTTGCAGAGGCAGCAGATCTGTAGACACGGAAGTGGCAGAGGAGTCACATTCAGGGTTAAGGATGATACCAAAGCCAGAGACACAGTAGGGAAATGGAACAAATATCTGGGTTGAGAAGCACGCTGTAAGAGGGGGTGCAGTTGTGGTAGAGGAGGCTTCTCTTGCCTAAGAGAAGCTGCTCTGCCTTTAGGAAACTAAGCTGAGCAGAGATGAGATGAAGCCACAACACAAATCTAATCTCTCTGTGAATTATATATATGTAAACCAGAGGTACTGAGACCACTGTGAGAGAGATTAGCAAGTCTGGTCTACAGCCTTAGTTAAATGCCCGCTGGCTTTAGGTTCTTGCAGTAGAGGTTCATGCCTTTAGCGCCAAAGGTCCCAGGTTCAATCCCCCCTGCTGACGACCCAGGTCTCTCAGTGCTATATATACTTTGCACCAGAACATTTCATTTAGCTGGACTCTGAAATGATCCATTTCTCATGATACTCACTGAACTTTGTTTTCCTCCCATAATGGATTCAGCCGTCTGCTAAAAAACAAAACAAAGCACGAATGAGACTCTCCTGCAGCTATTTACAAAACATACAGCAAGATTCTCCCCTGGCACACACTGGTGTAAATCAGGAATAACTTCTCTGAAGTCAATAGAGTTACACTGAGTAAAGCAACGACAGGCTGACAGAACACAACATTCAAGGAAATGCAATTTTCCCCTCACCAGAGAGGTTTGACAATGCGGAATGAGGAAGTAATAGTATTTCTAGGAAGTAAACACTAGTTTATTCAATCAATTATTTTGTTTTTATTTAAAAACAGTTACTGAGATTTTTTCATTCGTAATTTATTTTTGCATTCTTTATATATTCTTGAACGCCTAATTCAGTAAAAGTCAAGAAAACCAGTTAATAACCATGAGACAGAGACCAAATTTAACACCATTTGTCTCATTGTTTTTGCCTGACCCTGAAACTAGGGGTCACCTAATGAAATGAATAGGCAGCAGGTTTCAAAAAAACAAAAGGAAGTTCTTCTTCACACAGTGCAGAGTCAACCTGTGGAACTCCTTGACAGGGGATGTTGTTAAGGCCAAGACTATAACTAAAAGAGAACTAGATAAGTTCCTGGAGGATAGGTCCATCAATGGCTATTAGCCAGGCTGGGCAGGGATGGTGTCCCTAGCCTCTGTTTGCCAGAAGCTGGGACTGAGCGACAGGGGATGGATCACTTGATGATTCCCTGTTCTGTTCATTCCCTCTGGGGCCCCTGGCATTGGCTACTCAGAAAACTACTTCCTAATAAAACAGGTCTCTGTGGAACTCCCATTTAACCATTGCACATTAGCCTTATGTCCTGCTTACATAAGGCTAATCTGCACATGCTTCCTAGCACCTCTGCCCCTGTTTTCCAGACCCAGTGAGAAGTAGGGCTTTCTGAGCTGGGCTGTATGAGGCAGGTGGGGGCAGGGGTGAGGTAGGAGGATGTCATGGGCACACAGGCTTGGTGCCCTGGAACCACTCATGAATGAAGTTCACACAGGACCCTCTGGCAGGTTGACACCCCTCAGGGCACACACTCACTAGGGCAAGCCTCCTTGGCTTCAGCACCTCTTGGGTCTGATCTTGGAGCATTTAGAACCCCTGTTCCCATCATGAGCTCCCTGCAGTGAGTCCACCTGGATAGGACAGCTGGAGAAGACCTATACATCCAACCCCCCTAAGGGGACATACACCCAACTTCGCAGTCATCAGTGACTCTCAGCAGCGAGGTAAAACAGAAGATTTATTGGTTGACTGGGACACAGAGTAGAACAGATCTTGTTAGCTCATCAACTCAGCAAATTCCATGTTGGGGAATCCAGAGCCCAGAGCCCTAGATCTCCTTCCTGAGATTTAGTCCAGGAGACCGCCTCGCTTCCAGCAGCCCATGCTCAGTCACGCCCAGTTGCCCCTCCTCCATCCTTTGTCTCTTTCCCAGAAAAACAGGTCACCTGGCCTCCACTTCTTGTTTTGTTTTCCAACACTTCCAGCTGGCTCTTGCAGAGGATGGGTCCTGGTCATCAGTTGCCATGATACAGAGTGTTGGCCATTGTCTGTGCCCAGGCAACTGGTGGCCTGGGCCCCTCCCTGCAAGGAGCCAACTGAAGGGGTTGGAGAACAAAGAGATCAGGTGGCCTCCTGGCTGGGGAAAGAGACAAAGGCCAGAGGAGGGGCTGGAGAATTTCAGTTTGGAGCTGGCTGGGGAAAGAGAAGAAGGCCCAGACCTGGGGTCTGGCCTCCCTGGCCCCAAGATGGACCTGGCTTAGGGGTCCGGTTTCCTGTACCTACAAGCAGTGGTGAGCTGGAGCTGGTTTGTGTGAACCGGCTGTTAAATTTTTAAGCAGTTTTAGAACTGGTTAACTCACTTCCCTGCAGGGGGGGCTGAGGCTTTGCTGGGCTCCGGCCGGGAAGTGATGTGATTCCTCCTCCGGCCACCGGGGGCGCTGCTGCGGGAGCCACGTGGGCTGCCCCCCGGCCCTGGGCACGAGCCCTGGTGCTGCTGCTCCCCCGGCCCTGGGGCTCCCGCTGCTGCCTGGGGGGTCCCCGGCTGCTCTGCTGGGCCGGGGCTGCGTCCTGCTGCTCGGGCTGCTCCCCGCGAGCCCCCACCACCCTGCCCGCAGCCAGCCCCTACCTCCAGCCACCCCTGCACCCTCTGCCCGCAGCCAGCCCCTACCTCCAACCACCCCTGCACCCTCTGCCCGCAGCCAGCCCCTGCCTCCAGCCACCCCCTGCACCCCCTACCCTGCAGCCAGCCCCTGTCTCCAGCCACCCCCTGCCCTGCCCGCACCAGCCCCTGTCTCCAGCCACCCCCGGACCCCCTGCCCTGCTCGTAGCCAGCCCATCTCCAGCCACCCCGTGCCCTGTCCGCACCAGCCCCACACCCCCTGCCCTGCCTGCAGCAAGCCCCTGCCGCACCCCCTGCCCTCTCTCCCGCCAGCCCCGCACCCCCTGCCCACAGCCAGCCCCTGCCGCACATACCCCCTGCCTTGCTTGCAGCGAGCCCCGCACCCCGTGCCCTGTCCACACCAGCCCCGCACCCCCTTGCCTCCAGCCAAGCCTGCACCCTCCTGTCTCAAGCCAGCTCCGCACCCCCTGCCTGCCCGCAGCCAGCCCTTCCCCCCCTGCTTCCAGCTAGCCCTGCCCCACGCCCCTGTCTGCAGCTGGCCCCACATCCACTGGTGCCCTGCAGTTCCCAGGGCAGTAACCCTGCAGACCTACTTCAATGAGGGGGGCAGGGAGCAGCTGGGACCCACACATGTTCACACCCTAGGGTGACCAGACAGCAAGTGTGAAAAATCAGGATGGGGGTGGGGAGTAATAGGAGCCTACATAAGAAAAAGACCCAAAATTGAGACTGTCCCTATAAAATCGGGACATCTGGTCACCCTAGCACAGCCCCAGGGCGTGGCGGGGACCCACACATGAAACGGAGCTTGCTTCTAGCTCAGGCCCATCTTTTTAAAAAAGAACTTTCGGCGGGGTTAACATACATCCGTATTTTCCCGGACAGGTCAGGCTTTTTGGTTCTTAAATCGCCGTCCGGGAGGAATTTTTAAATTTAAAAAATTCCTCCTGGGAAAATATGGACGTATGGTAACCCTCTTGGTACAAAAAATACATACTGGGGCACATCCCTTAAATCAGAACTTTTTATCGGGAACCGATTGTTAAGATTTTGGCAGCTCATCACTGCCTACAAGCTCTGTTTTGGACTGTGTTCCTGTCATCTAATAAACCTTCTGTTTTACAGGCTGACTGAGAATCACGTCTGACTGTGGAGTTGGGGGGCAGGACCCTCTGGCTTCCCCAGGACCCCACATGAGCGGACTCGCTGTGGGAAGCGCACGGAGGGGCAGAGGATGCAGAATGCTCTGAGGTCAGACCCAGGAAGGTGGAAGCTGTGTGTCCTGCAGACAGGCTGCTCACAGAGAGGAGACTGCCCCAGAGTCCTGCCTGGCTTCGTAGGGAGCAGTTCCAGAGCATCGCCCAGGGACTCCATGACTTGGTAAGTCTCAGCCTGAGTTGACTCTCCACTGTAGTTAAGCCAGGGTTCATATGTCATTGAGAATCTACACAAGGTGAAGACAGGAACCAGATCTCTGATGTGGCAGACCCAAATCCCATCCACTTAACCATGCTGCTCCCCAGAGAGATTCTGCGATATTTGTCCCTACCTATAACATAGTGTTATGCATCATCCTCTAGTGGCTGCTTCACACAAGATAACAGTCTTCTGCTGCCAGCTAATGTAGTTAGCCCTATAGCTCAAATGCTAGAACTCACTACTGAAGTCCAAGGTTCAGACTCTGATGAAGATGCGGGGCGGAAGGTGGAACTAGTCTATCCCCCCACCCCTCAGTAGCAGGTGCAAGGGGGTTGAGAAAGCCAGGGGCAGCTCAAGGGAGCCACAGTTATGGGAGGGGTTCAGGGAGCCAGGGGGGGCAGGTATTTGAGGGGCAGGGGTTGCTGCTGAAGGAGAAGGAGGGGAGTGAATCTGAGCGAGCTGTTTGAAGAAGGGCAGCAGAAGGTCCTGAAACAGTCTGGAGGGGAGGTGGTGTTTTGTTTGGATCAGCTTAATCCATGCTGCCCCTGTCCTGTTTCAGCCACTGCCCCTTATTTTGCTCCCATGTTCCTCTCTACGCATCTGCTCCTGCTGCTCATCCTGTTCCCCATTCTCTGTCACTCCCCCACCTGCCCCCATGCTCACCCCCTCCTCCTGACCCCAGTGTCTGCCCCTTCCTTCTGCCCTGCTCTCTTTCCTATCGTCCCCCTTGCCAGCAGGGCCCTGGGACATCTGGGCACAGTCACTTCCCAGCTGCTCTGGGCCAGCTCGGCCCAGCACGGGAGCAGCGAGAGCAGAGGAAGAGGCAGCTGGCCGGGAATCCATCCATCACAGGGGACCTGTTAGCGAGGACCCTGTGCAGTCCCTGCAGCCTGTCGAATGGGAGAGATGCCTGCAGGCGTGGGGGCAGCAGCTGGGAAGGAGTTGTTAGATGTGGGAGGTTAAGCCAAGATGGCTGACACAGCAGTCCTGCCCTCCCATCCCCCATGACTGTACATCATGCTACTTCGGCATCAGACCGGGTTGCCCCCATAGCAAGATCTTTCCTCCCCCTGGGTTCCCAACACCCAGGCTGCAGCTCAGGGAAGTGCCAGGGTCGTCTCCTCCCAGCCTGCATGTCCAGACCCTGGCAGGGTGCCCCAGGGATGTGGGCACCCCAGCCTGTCACCCCCTGTCACTCACCTCGACCACACCAGCCTCACCTTCCTCCCACCACCCCCATGTGACCGTGTGCCACTTGTGTGGTTCTGGGCATCAGTCCTCCAAATATGTGCCCAGGCAAACCAAGCATCCTCTGCTGCGCTTTGAGAGTCACTGATCAACTTTTAACATCTGTATTATAAAATTATCAGTGAGTACGAAAAAAATGATACTAGAGATGAAAGCCTTTGTTACTTCTTCACATTAGATTTTTCAGCTTGAAAACCACCAGGCTTTACAGTCAGACCTGGTCATTCACATTTCATTTAGATAAATTAGCTTCAGTTAAACGATGAAACACTAAAAGTGTAATTCTTTTCAAGACTATTTTATTTTCCCCTGGTTTCAGTAAATTCCACAGACTGCAAGGAAGTATTTTTGGCGGAAATTTACAAATCTAAATATTAGGCAATGTTAGCTTAAAACAGGACATTAAAACTCATCACTCTCTCTCTCACACACACACACACACACACACTACCTCCTCTGTGCTGTTGGTTTGTTTTGGCACTCTCCTCCCAGGCTGCTGGTGTCAGATGAGAACAGACACAATCCCCTGGGGTTGTCTCTTTGTCAATAGACTGGACACACTGAGGGCAGAGGTAAAGTTCGGAGGTGCAGATAGGAAGGCAGAGGGTGAGCGCAGTGCAGTTAGGTGCCTGCAGGCCGAGCACACTGATCAGCAAATTGTGCCAAACAAGCAACCCTGGGAAACTTTTTTACAGAAACTGCCTGTAGCTTGATTGGCTGCTTGCAAAGAGGAGAAACACCACAGACAAATGCACCCTGCAGCCAAAGCCCCAAACACTCATGTGAGGAATAACACAGGCCAGGAGCAGCAGCACCAATAAGAGTTACCAGAGGTGCAACTCCAGGGGCAGGGCGAGGGGATTAGACAAGAGGGACATTCCCCCACTTTCACTCCCCGCACCCAGTGAAGAGTCTGTTAAGAAGATAGCTGCCTCTTGCTCTATTACATGCAGCTAGTGATGGCCCCTGCAGGGATTAGCTGAGGCTGAGGGTATAGGAGAGTGGCCAAGGCAGTAGGGTGCAGAGGGAGATTCTTCTCCCTCCTGCTAGCAGCAGCCCCCTCACTATCTCTCCACTTGCTGGCAGCCTCCTCCCCAGCTCCCAGTGTCTCCTGCCAAGCTGGGCAAGGAGAGGAGGGATAAGGGAGTGAAGAGAGAGTGATGAGGGAGAATTATGGTGGTGGGAGGAGAGAGCCTCAGGGAATGAAAGAGCAGAGAATGGGGATGGTGAAGGATGCAGATGATACCACTTGCAAAGCAGTGGATTAAGGGGGAGAGAAGTAAAAAGACAATTATTAAACATTACAGGCAAAGTGAATTTAGGCTTTGTGTACACTGGAGTGATCAATCAACTCTTACGTCCCTCAATTGACTGAAATGAATCTTGCATCTGTAACTCTGCTATTCACTGCAACAGACTTCATTAAAGCAGAGTTCAGGTTCCCCAGCCCTTTCCCAGCATGCCCTTCTAGAAAGTGAACGGTGAAGAAAAGTCAACCTTGAAAATCAGGAAATACTAGTGTCACCCATGGGTGGTGGGTGAACAAACTGTTGGGGAAGGCTAGTCCCTGGTTCCTTCTCCTCTGCCTGAGGCCCTGTCCCTCCCCATCCCTTTCCGCGCCCCCATCTCCCCGAGCCCAGAGCACCCCCCCCCACGGCCTCCAGCCTCGGAGCACTGGGCGAGCGGCTTGGCCCCAGTGCTCCCAACCCCAGAGCGTTGGGCAGGTGACACGTTATGGCCCCAGCATCCCCAGCCACGGGCCTTACAAGCACTGGCCCCAGCCTGCCCACCCCAGCCTCTGGGCCACGGAAGAGTGGGAAGGAAACTAGAAGCAGGCAGGAGGGAGCCTGGGGGCAGAGCATGGGCAGGACCATGCCAGGCTCTTCGGAGAGGCACAGTCTCCCCACGGCTATGATACCCACCACCCATGATGTCACCTACATCCCACCATCTCCACATACTCTTAACTCTGTCCCCCTGGAGTTGGCAATAGCCAGTGGGACCATACTGAACCTGTCCTGTCTCATCCCTAATAAAATGTGCCACTGTTTGTTCTGTTGTATCCATCTAGTGTTGGTCCAAAAATGTTTTCCTAACATGGAAAATGTTGATTTTTTTAATTTAAAAAAATTGACCAAAACCCAGAATAGTTCAGTTTGGCAATGCAGCTGTGGTGCCTCATGGGAGTTGTAGTTTGGATGACTTATGCTCACTTTCTCCTCAACAGTCTGGGCTCCTTGGTTGGACTGCATCTCCTATGATGCATTGTGGCTTCCCTTTTTGGTAGAATCCTTGGCCATAGTGTATCCTGGACGATGTAGTCCAGCTGGGGAGCATGGCCTGTGGAGGAGAATGGGGACATGAGGAAACTGAACTACAACTCCCATGAGACCACAGCACCATTTCTGAACTGAAATATTTCAGTTTTCAAAATTTTCAATTTTGAGGTGTTCAGTTTTTTGATGAAAAACCAAAACTTTTAGAGGAAACAAGACAGTTTTCATGACAATTTTGTTTAGTTGAAAACCAAATAGCAGCTGAATAACAGTTGTGACAGGGCATTTTTGACCAGTCCTATACCCATCACAATCTATTCTGTCACTCCTTCTCCTGCACTCTCACTGCCCCTTGCTAGGTGGAGCTGTGTTAACTAAGGAATTAGTGGCAGCAGGTTGCCAGAGCTCACACCATCAGCTGCAGAGAGGTGCAGATGCAGCTAGAAGAAGCAGGGATCCCTTTTCTCCTGAGCTGTGATATGCAGGAGGTGAGACAGATGATCACACTAGTGCCTCCAAGCTCTAAAATCAGAGAATGCATGAGAGCTTTAAAAGTGTATGCACAATTTCAGGGATGCCAGAAAAACTAATGCTGTCACCCCTAGAGGCTGATATTCCACGAGGTATGTCAAGAAGATAGGGGGATTTTGACGGGTTGGATCACAGAAACCCCCTTGGGTTTGCCAGCTGATGTGCCAAGACTCCTTCTGCCCTGCTTTCCTGCCCTAGCAGCTTGGGACTTCAGTGCCCTACCTGGTATGAGCCAGATCCGCTAGCCTGCTGCAAACCCAGACCCAGGTCTGAGCCATGTCCCCTAACAGCTGTAGGTTTAACTGGAAGCAGCTTAGGAAGTGTTCCTGTCTTTAACACTCAGATGCCCATCTCCCAACGGCGTCCAAACAAAATAAATCCGTTTTACCTTATATAAAGCTTATACAGGGTAAACTCATAAACTGTTCACCCTCTATAACACTGATAGAGAGATATGTGCAGCTGTTCCTCCCCCCCCCCCGGTATTAATACATACTCTGGGTTAATTAATAAGAAAAAAGTGATTTTATTAAATACAGAAAGTAGGATTTAAGTGGTTCCAAGTAATAGCAGACAGAACAAAGTGAATTACCAAGCAAAATAAAATAGAACACACAAGTCTATGTCTAATACAGTAAGAAAACTGAATTCAGATAAAACCTCATCCTCAGAGGTGTTCCAGAAGGCTTCCTTTTACAGACTAGTCTCCTTCTAGTCTGGGTCCAGCAATCACTCACACCCCCTGTAGTTACTATCCTTTGTTCAGTTTCTTTCAGGTATCCTTGGGGATGGAGAGGCTATCTCCTGAGCCAGCTGAAGACCAAATGGAGGGGTCTCCCAGGGGTTTAAATAGACTTTCTCTTGTGGGTGGACACCCCTCCCTCTCTCTTTCCCCCTGTGTAGAATCCAGCTACAAAATGGAGATTTGGAGTCGCGTGGGCAAGTCACATGTCCATGCATGACTTAATTTTTATAAGCAGCAGCCGTTGCCCAGATGCTATCTTGAATGTGTCCAGGAAGGCTTCTTATATGGATTGGAGTCTTCCAAGATCCATTGTTCATTAAGTGTTTCTTGATTGGGCACTTAATTTGCACATTCCTTTCTCAAGAAGCTGACCAAATGCTTCACTAAGGCTACTTAGAAATCAAGCAAGTACACAGCCAATATTCATAACTTTGGACACAAAAATTATACATGCATATAAATAGGAGGAATAGATTCAGTAGATCATAACCTTTACAGAGATATGTTACATGGCATATGTAGCATAAAACATATTCCAGTTATGTCATATGTATACATTCATAAGCATATTTCCATAGAGCCTGATGGGGTGCACCGTCACAGGGATATCCAAGTGTTTCATCCCTAACACCCCTTTCCATAGTCTTAGAGCCCAGCAGAACTACACAGTCCTTTCATCTCTGACAGGCATCACTCAAAGCAGGGAGATCTAAGGTTATTTGCAGTGTGGTCTGGGGGACAATACTTTAACTCTGCATTTCCTGGTTTCCAGAGGTTCACCTTTGGACCACAGATCTTGTGCATCATATCTAGTGCAGCCCAGTAGGGGTCCAGCAACCCACACCTGGAACAGAACGTGCCCTGACCAGGACTCTTGAGCTCATTCTCCTGGAGTCATTTTCAGTCTGGTAACAAATTCCTCCTAATGCCCCTATGCTGGGCTTCATGCTGGACACAGAACTGCCCACTGAGTCATCTCAGGGTGGGATCCAAGCAGTTGGGTAGATCTAATGGAGGTACAATTGTGGGGACTTGAACTCACAAGTCACTCACATTTCCAGAAGGTTCCCCATTGTAGCCCCAGACACTGAGTCAAAGATAGGCTGAGTGCTGTTGTGCCTAGCATGCTAATCGCATAACAAATCATTTTGAACGGATGGTCCTTGAACACAACTGGTAGGACCTTATCCTCTGAACCACCAAGTGAACACACTGGTCGATCTATTCCTAAGAAGGTAACTCACCCAGCAGTATATGTGCTCATGTTCTGTACGCTAACTTTCAAAATATTTCTAAACTGCTTCTTGATGCTGTTGAGTAGCTGAGCTCAGTAGTGGGCCAGTGATATAAATGTTATGAAAGTCAGACTCACTATATTTCCCTAGCTCTGAAGAGAAAAAAAAACAAATCTGGAACCTTTGAAAACAACTTACTAATTTATTATTATTATCATTATTTTGGAGGAGGGCATATCTTGGGAACAACTAACATTTCCACCACAAAGAATATCCCTGCCCCTGTTGTGGTATATCAGTGTTCAAAACAATCTCCCTATATATGGTATGTGCACTATGGAGGACTTTGACTAATGAAATGTTAAAAAAAAATCTTCTGCTCTGGAAAAAATTTCCAAAGAAGCTGCAGCCAGAAGTACAATGGGAACTCCAGACATACCTGAAACCTACTGAGGCTGGATTTGAATTCATAGTCCGTGGGTGGAGCTCACGTTCAAAGATGACACCTTGTTTCCCTGAGCCAACCAGTGAGGATGACAGGAATTGACCTGCCCTACCTAGTTGTTAGACACAGCACCTCAGGCTTGAGACGCAGCAGCCCGGCTGTGCATGGAGAAATCACTTTTTCTGGCACATGTCCCTGACACATGCTAATTTAGAAATCCAAAAAGAACGTCTAATACCTTTTAAGATATTACTTTCCTGCCATGGAATT